TATATATATATATATATATATATATATATATATATATATATATATATTTATTTATTTTTTTAATGCAGATGCATTCACTTGAGCAACTAGACTGTTTAGCTGCCAAATGACAAAAGCTACTTGTGTCAACAAACAGTACCGCAGCAATCAAAAAGAGTTGTGCAACTATGTGATTTGAGATCAAAGTTCATGCTCAATAATCCAGGTAGAAAATCCAAGAAAGTCCAGTCAGATCTTCTGGACCGTTTCTTTTGTTGAAACATTTCATCTTCAATACAAAAGTCTTCATCAGTCCAAGGAGCCACAAGCTCAGTGTTATAAATAGCACCTTCACATATTGGGTCAACTGGTTTGATAGTGATATGATGGTTTCTGGAGTCCGCCCCTCCCCCACCAACTGGTCTGTGGCAGCCATGGCCAAAGTGGTTCAAAACAGCAAAGTGCTGTTAAAGTCTTTGTTCTTCTCTGTCCATATTCTGAATCGCTCTTGATCTGGTCTGTCACCTAGGAGCAGTCTGCATGGAAGAGCCCAGCAGAGCTCCGAGGATCGATCAGGTGCACAGACTCCTCCACCGCGATAAGGTGGCGATTCACAGGGGAGGGCTCATTCATAGGAAAATGTATAAAGCCTGGTAGCAAAACCCTAAATTAATGACTAGTGAGGTGATTCAGCTTAAAAAAAACAAAAAACAAAGATGGATTTTTTTTTAAATTGCACATAATTATAACAGAAAAGAAATGTGTAAAATCCAGCAGCTGTAATGTGTTCATCATTCCTTTTATCAGGTTTTAACAAACATCAGGGAGCATGGGATACCAGTGCACTGCATGAATTTTTTGTTGTTGTTGAAGTTGTTCAAATGTAATTATATTTAATTATCCAATCGGTTTCTCTGTTTACCTGTATGCAAAAAAACAAAAGACTAACACTAATTTATTGATATATTTTTCCTTGCAAACAGTAAAAAACAATTTAATTATGACATTTTCCTTAGTTTGATCCAGGAGTTAAAAATGCTTTCAATTAACACAAATATTGGCCTTTGCACCCATAAACTATGCTGCGAAGGAAAGCCCAATGAGCAGGTTGTGTGTGCACTGACCCAAACTGTAGGCCAAGAAGTCCGAGGAGAAACACTTGGCTCCGTGGCTCATGGACGTGTCATTGTGCGTGTTTCCTCCAAACACCAACATGGTTCCACTCACTATCACTGCCGTGTGAAGGTAACGGAAAAAGCCACTGTCTCTGAGGATGGTCCTGTAGAAGCACACAGATGAGGCAGTGCAGACACCAAACATTTAAAAACATGTTTACAACAGGCAAGAACTGCTGAGCATAAGTTCTCTGTTGTAGATGGAGGCAGTTTTTTAAATCAGGGTAGTCACTTGATGATATACATCATTTATTTATGTTGTTATTACCAGTACTTGATGGGGAGGAGTATTATTTTTTATTCCACAAAATGTATAATTTAAAATAAATCTAGATTTTAAATCAGAAAAAGCATTGAGAGAGAAAAAGAAATGAGAAATCTCTCTCAAAGAGGTGACAACTTCTGACAGAGCTGTACAACTGGGTCCACCTGCTAATGACTTCATCAAACACATTCTAAATAAAAATGAAAAATTGAACATTTAAAAGTGGCTATCTCAAAACTGAACTATTCTGGTGTTAGAAAACATTTGAGCCGTCATTCTGAAGCTTTCTGATAGTTGTTAGAGGTACTCATTAAATCAAAGAGCACCTGCTCTTATCCTAAGTTTAACATCTTTATTAGGAAAACAACAGAAAGTTTAATGTTTGAAAGATAAGAGGCGACTCTGTAGAATCCACTGAGCTCACGTTATTAGATTAAAAATGATTATGTGCCATGTGTATAATATAGATTGTCAATGATTTTTGTATAGATTGCTTTTTTTACTTTATTTAACAACTTACAATATAAAACAGAAAGCACCAGATCTTACAATAGAAAGTTACAAAAGGTGATTCATAACTTAGTGGAAATAAGAACAAACAAGAAAAGGGGACAAAAACTTAGCCTTCAATGAAGAAACTGAAATAACCAAGAAACTAAGAAATTTGCCAGCACTTTTTTTTTCATTTACATATTTTAAAGATTTTGCATATTTAGCCCATTCTTCCAGTGGTTCACATTAAATTTACATTTGACAAAAACTGCATTTATGAACATAATGTTTCACTAATATAATGAAATTATTGAAGGCTGGTTGGGTTGAAACCTTGCAACACGGTTGTTTGAGCCCATTCATATTTGTGTGCTTCCACAGATGTGCCACATTCACACAGCTCTAACTTTCTACTGCACAAAAAATAAATAAAAGCAACCTAATCCCCAAACCAGAAGAAAAACATGTGTTTACAGGTCCCTCTTGTAAATGAGTCCTCGTGGCTCAATGAGGCTAGCTGTATAAAGAAAGGTTGAATGAAAAGTGATAGTATATTCATTATTTCCAACCTTATTAATTAACACAAATTGGATTTCTTTTCAATTGAGAGTAGGTAGTTGAATCCCTTTGGATTGGATCCACATCCTAAAATAACCCATAATTTCTGAACTACCATGCAGTCAAAGAAAAGATGTTCCAGGTTCTCACTCTCTGTCTCACAGAAAACACAGTTCCCAGTGTCCATTTTAAATTTTGTCCTCAGAAATTCCTTAGTACGATAAATTGTATTTAAGTTTTTTAATTGAATTTCTTTGGCTTTAGGAGGAACTGGAAATGATGTAAAATGAGTTCTGATCTTTTTAATGTCTTCTTTACTAAAGTCCTTCAGAATACTGTATATTCTCTCCTAATGAAGTTAGGAGAGTAGTGATGCAGAAGTTTGTTTCGCAAAAATGTATTGTTGCATTGATAGTCAGAGAAAACAACTCCATCAATCCAGAGTTGTTTCACACCAGGGGAAATATCAGAGAATACAATACCTTGTCTCACCATAGTCCTAAGAGAGACGGGAACAGCCTTTAAAATTTGGTTATATTCATTCTTAACGGAGTGGATTTGAATTTTTTTTACAGAACTCTTGATATTGTAAAATGTTTCCTTTGTTGACCATAAAATGGGTCTTTACAACACCGCTCCTCAAAATAAACACATCATTTTTTAATAATCAGTATGTACCTATTGTTCCACACTGGTGTAGTGTGTGAAATATTGACAGAAATGAGTTTCCAGTAAAGAAAAACAGTTTAAGAAAATCTGACAGTTTCACAGGCAATCTGATAAACTCAAATTCACATTGTAAGAGAAAATGAAGTCCCTCTATCTTATTAAACAACAAATTGGGTATATATGACCAAATTGAGAGATCATTACAATATTTAGAAAAAAATAGCCATTTAAGTTTTAAAGTACCATTCATAATTTCTAACCCTACTGCATTCCCTTCACAGTCTTAATAAGTTTTAATCAGGTCATATTTACGTGTAGAGTGATTTTTTTCCCTCCATAGATTGCTTTTATTGTAGCAAACAGACTATAATAATCACAAATCTTTAAATAGTTTATTAAAACATGCTTAAATTTAAAAAAGTGTATATATTTTTTATATATAATATACACACTATATATATATATATATATATATACAAACTATATATAATATATATATATATATACAAACTATATATAATATATATATATATACAAACTATACAATAATAAATAATAATGAATTTAATTTGTAACGCACTTTTCATTAACAAAAATCTCAAAGTGCTACAGAGTGCAACTAAAATCAATGATAAAATCAACTAAAATCTGTGATAAAATCAACTAAAATCAATGATACAATCAACTAAAATCTGTGATAAAATCAACTAAAATCTGTGATAAAATCAACTAAAATCTGTGATAAAATCAACTAAAATC